CTTCCACTAGCTGATGTCGGCAGCAGTACACGCCCCGTAGCCCCTGGCACTGCTTCTGTCGCTGCCGCCACAGCTGCTGCCGCTGCCTGAGGTTGGCTCCGCCCTCGAAAAGTGGGTGCCGCTGGACGTGGACGCCCTTCACCACCATCTGGTGCCGCCGCCGCTGCCACCGTTGCTGCCCTTGCCGCCACCACCTCCGGAAGTGGTTGCCTACCAGGCGGTGAAGTCCCTGTATCATGGCCCGCAGTGGTAATGTTGCTGTTGACCTCCGCTTTGTCCCAAACATGAAGGTGTGATGGGCACCGCGCAATCCAGCTGTCACCTTGGGCTGCCAGGCGGTCTCGAAGGTCCCGCAGTGTGATGACAGCTGTGTGATCGGACAGCCTGCGAAAATTTCACATATGGTATGTGCACGTACGACATGGTCTGAACAACATGCCTTGGGAATTCACATGTAAGAAGCAAGGGCACGCCATTTTACCACCAGTGCTAATTCTTCTCATTAGGAGCGAGGTCTCCTTTTATTATTTATGAAATATTACACTTTCCGAATTTATGTGATAGTTTTTTACTTCGCTGTGAGGCGCTGGAGGGGCTCCCGGCACCCAAGAACCACCGACAGGTTTCAAAACATCTAGAAAACCAAGAGCAAATGGCGCAGTTGCTTGCTTTTGAAGGTGGTTCTAGATACGGAGGATCTGTTGCACCATGTAATACTGTAAGAAGTCATGTGCACACAAAACACGCACATCCCAACCCCAAAGACATGAAAATGAACGACTCGACGCATCCATTCCTTTTTCCAAATCCCAAATCCGGATCTATCATTACTTCTTGGGTGTATACTATTTATATAAGATAGCAACCCAACAACTTACAACGGTGGTCAATCAGGACTTCATTTGGATTTGGGTTAAGTAAGCAGCACTACATAGCTCTGGCATTTATGTTAGCAGCGGTGAAACGCAAGCAGGTATCGAATGGAAATACACGCATCATAACATCGATACCTGGCTTACCTGCGATTGCCTATA